AGAGCTCCGTTACTCAGTAAGGCTCTTTATGTTGTTCAGGCTCCACCTGCACAAGTACCTCATTCTTCCTGAATGCAAAAAAATTATTTGAGATTTACTGAATATGTGAAGTGAAAGATCTGTATCCAAACCAGGAGTAAATATATCTCTTGCCTGTCACATTGTGGAAGACAAAAACTGGATGAGAGCTCTGGCTTTTCAGGGTGCACAGACACAGGAGCTCGAAATACCAGGGCTGTAATACTCTTGTTAGGGTTTTGCTGTTTCTGGCACCTTCAAGCTTCTGGGTGCCACTACACATCCCAGTATCTGCTGAGAATCTTCTTGCACTATTCTTGGTCCATCTTCGGTTACTCAATGAGATGAAACTGTAGCTGGAACCGGAAAGCTTTCATTTTGCCACAGCTGACATGCCTGATAGTGTGTATTAGCTGGACCCCAAAAATGCTCATACATGCCTTTACTTTCTATGCCATGTTTTCCCATGGCAGTTGTTCAGTACAGGCCTGCAATCCAATCTGAGTGCATTCTGTCAGAGTAGATAGAATAAGCATATCAAGCCGGAGATAAACTCAGGCAAAGGGACATCTGCCCACAGATATTTTCAACTGGCAAGATAATATCCCCAGAATTCTTTGATAGAAGAAACACAACTGGTTGTGTTTAGATGTCTTACATTTATTGGATCTTGAAATGCTTATAATTTACTGTCCAACAATTTGGTATTTCTCAATATGTTGCTATTCACGGAGTGTTGCTGGCAAGATATTACAAATATGAACTGTTGAAAAAGATATACATTGTCATCTCAAACTGTTTTGAGGACAAAGAGTTCTTATTGGGGCAGGATGAAGGCAGTTGCCTCGAAAACATTAGTATAGAACAGGATTAGACAACAATCGAAAGGCCTTAACCGACACACATATGTCTCCAGTCTAACTGTTTATTCATGTCAATTTTGTTCTCAATGGTCTCTCTGGGAGGATCAAAGGGAAATTACCCATTAATTGCATTTACTCTGGGGCCCAAAACCAAAATATTGTCTCAGTTCTAACGTCAGATCTTTAACAGTGTTCATTATCCACAAGAGTGTTATCTTGGAACCTCTATTGTAATATCTACAAACTAAACCTGCTGATGAGTCAGGGAATCTAGTTTGCTTGGTTGCACTTTGCTCTCTGATGGCAGCCAACACACATATCCTAGGCCACTTGACACAGTGTAATGGTGAGACAGTGCATTCATTCATACAACACTGAGTCGGAATCTGCAGGTCAGATTTCTGCAGTGGTGGTACACAGGTCTCAGTTTATGCTATCGTAAACACGGCTACAAGAAAAATATGTGTGCATGTGTCTTTATAATAAAATGATTTAAAAAACCTTTCGGTATAAGCCCAGTAATGGTATTATTAGATCAAATTGTATTTCTATATTTGGATCCTTGACGAATTGCCACACTGTCTTCTACAGTGGTGAAACTAATATAAACTCCCACCAACAAAGTAAAGGCTTTCCTTTGTCTCCATATCTTCTCCAGAATCTCTTATCTCTTGATTTTTTTAAATAATCGACATTCTAACAGAGGTGAGGTGGTATCTCAGTATGGTTTTGATTTGCATTTTTCCACTGACCAGTAATGATGAGGTTGTTTTAACATGTTTTTTCACTGCATAAATGTTTTTCTTTGAAAAGTGTCTGAATAAATTCTTGGTCCACTTCTTTTATGTGGCTGACTGTTTTTATCTTGTGGATTTGTTTAAGCTCTCTGTAGATTCTGGATATATGTTTCTATTCAGATGCGTGAATTGCAAAAATATTTTTACATTTTCTTTGTTGCCAGTTCACACTGTTGATTTTTTTTTCTTTCTTTCTTTCTTTCTTTTTTTTTTTTTTTGCTGTGCAGAAGGTCCTGTGTTTAATTAAGTCTCATTGGTCTATTTCTTACCATTGTGTTTCGTGTTTGAGCATAAAGTCCTTGACCATGCTTATGTACTGAATGGTATTTCCTAGGTTTCTTTCAAGGTTTTTTATGGTCTTTGGCCTCATGCTTAATCTTTAATTTATCTAGAGTTATTTTTTTATACTTCATAAGAAGGGATCCTGTTTTCGCTTTCTAAATATGGCTAACCAGTTTTTTCTTTTTATTTTACTTTATTTATTTATTTATTTTTTGAGACAGTGTTTTACTCCTGTTAGGCTGCAGTACAAGGGCATGATCTTGTCTCAGCGCTACCTCTTTCTCCTGGGTTCAGGCAATTCTCCTGCCTCAACCTTTTGAGTAGCTAAAACTACAGGCACAGGCCACCATGCCCAGCTAAAATTCTGTATTTTTAGTAAAGGCTGGGTTTCACTCTGTTGACCAGGATGGTCTCGATCTCTTGACCCCGTGATCCACCCGACCCAGGCTCACAAAGTCCTCAGACCACAGGCATTAGCTACCGCACCCAGACTAACCAGTTTTTTAAACACCATGTATTAAATATGGAATTCTTTTCGCATTGCCTGTTTTTGTCTGGTTTCTCAAAGATCAGATGGTTCTAGCTGTGAGGCATTCTTTCTTAAGTATCTGTCCTGTTGCAATTGTCTAATCAATGTTTTTGTACCAGTACCATGTTTTGTTAAGTACATAACAAAATATTTTTACATGAAAGAAAGAGAAAGTATAAATCAAATAAAATAATAATCATGGAAGACAAGAAAGTAAACATTAGTATAATTGTTTTATACTTATAATAATGATATGCTTTTAGTTACTTTAAAAATGTGCTCTTGCATATAAAAGCACATACTGGTGCTAGTGCATTATTAAAATGATGATTTATTTATATAATTTCTATGCTAGTCTTATTTTACGTGAAAATACTCAGGGGACAAAAACAAAATAATACCGATTTCTGGGAAATGCATGATAATGAACTACAGAGTACTCTATGTGTGGCTCTTCAACTCAACGATAGATCCAGTGAAAAAATTAATATAGTGTAATTCTTTTGCAATTCCAGTGTTTATCTGAAAGTTTACAGCTTTAAAAACAAATTTCAATAGTAAAAAACAATGAAATGTTATCAATTTTATGGCATCAAACCACAATAGCTATTTATTTGTTATTAACCTCTTCTGTGCCATGCCGATTGGAAAACCTTCTGAAGCAGCTGGCAAGAGTTAGAAAAACAGAAAACACTCTGCCTTAAAACTCTCAAAATGACTTACGCACTGAATGGTGCTCCTTATAACAGAGGTCCTGACAGAGATGAATAGTCATTTTTTCATTCCCAAACCCTGTGTAGATTTTCCCTCTTCCTGTTCAAGCGACATTCACAATATAATTTAAAGATGCAGAACACATTTTTTCGGTTTTCTTATTTATTTGAATTTAATTTCCTCGTGTTTTCCTTTTAGGAACTAAGTCATTGGTAGACAATAATATTCAAAATAAATACATATGCATGAAAGTATAAATAAATTGTTATAATAAAACCGTGTATACCAGAGCTGTGCAGGCTTTAAAAAGACCAATAAATAAATTAGGTAATACCGATTTTTTGTACAGATAGAGCCTACATGATGACCAAACAAAACCCTTTCAAGCAATGCAGAAAATAAGCTCTGATTTTAAAGGTAACAGCATTTAAAAATTTAATTGCACTTGATAACCATTAATAAAATCACAGAATAGAAAGTGAAATAGAAAAATACAGCTCATTCCAGGAACAAAAAATATTATCAATCATAAAATATTTCTAAACAGCCCAAATGGCAGGTTTTCTAAAAAGTAATTTTTGAAATAAATTTTCATAGGGATATAACAGAATAAACTAATGAAGCCCAGAAAGTTCATGAAGAAAATAATTATTAGTAAAGTGTGTGAAATTATTGCAATGTGTTAACAATCATAGAGAGAAAATTACAGCAACTGAAAAAAAATTCGCATAGAAAATTGAAAGTAGGCTTGAATAGAGGAAAGACAACAATTTCAGAAAACCTAACAAACAATAAATTGAAATTATTATGTCAGGAAAATAAAAGGTAAGAGATGAAGATGTGTGAACACTGCCTAGAAACCTGTGGGAAGCCATCAAGCGGCTATACTTACACATTTTAAAGGTTCCAAAGGAGAGACAGGAAATCAAAAAAAGTATGTAAGAAGCAGTGGTCAAAAATGTCACAAATGTGGGGAAATAAACATCCCAACCCTCAACAAACTTTCAATGTGATAAACTCAAAGACAAACATAAACTTACGTGATAATTTAGCCATTTCAAAGAAAAGCAAAGAGAACCCTGGAAGCAGGAAAGGAAATGACTACGTATGTACAAAAAAATTCGCTATAGAAAATTGAAAGTAGGCTTGAATAGAGGAAAGACAACAATTTCAGAAAACCTAACAAACAATAAATTGTCAAATATAATTAATATTTCTTTTATCTGAACACTCACAGACCACAAAGCAGTAGAGTAGCACATTTTAAGTGATGTAAGAAAAACTTTCAAACAGAAAACTTTTGTGCAAAAATTGTCCATCGAAATTGAGCAAGAAATTATGATAGACCCAGACGAAATCGGGGTGTTTTCCAGTAGACGACCCTTTAAGAAATGCTTTATAGAAACTATAAGGTTAAACAAACAGATACATAATAACAGTATAAATAAACACGAATTCAAATAGAGAAAAATATATAAACAATTATAAAAAATTAAAAAAAATTGACAATGTGTAGCTCCACAATTGGTTCTACATATAATTTGGAAAACGAATACATTTAATAAAAAGTTATCACTAAAACTTTGTATGTCTTGTTGTCATGCAATAATGACAGATATAATTTTGTGAAATGAATAAGTAAAATAACAAATAACAACATATAATTTATAGGTTTTCATGCTGTTGCAGGTGTGCTCGTATGACTTTAATAATGTTATCACTTTAGAATGTTCAATATAATTGCCATGGTAATGACAAAACACAGTAACAGGCATCTAGAATGCTTTGTGCACTATATAAGAGTCAAAGCTGTGGATTTAGCTCATCTTACCTAAAGCTACCTAGCCAGCTACCTTGGCATCATAAGCCCAAGTTCAAGCTGCCTCAGCAAAGATTAAGTGTGAAGAGGATAAGGCTCGTGGACTGCTTCTTCACACACTTTTTACTACAGCAGTGTCCACGAAGTGGAAGAGGCTCATCCATACATAGCACCTGGTGAAGCACTGGAGGCGGAAAGAAGCGGCTATGAAGAGACACAACTGAAAAACCTTGGCACAGCAACTGCCTCAATTCTGTCTCTCTCTTCATGGCTTCCCAAGAGTATGAGGTTGAAGCTATTATTGACAAAAGAAAACATAGAAACGGGACAACAGAGTATTTGGTTCGGTGGAAAGGGTATGACAAACAGGATGACACTTGGGAACCAGAGCAAAACCTCACAAACTGTGGAAAATGTATTTGTGACTTTAACAGACGACAGACGCAAAAGCAGAAAAAATCGACATGGATCAGAACAAGGACGACTTCTTCAAACAACGTCAGGAAACGAACTTCCAGAACTTCCACATCTAGCTTCCCTAAGAAAATTCCTAAAAGGCCATCGACTGGCAACCACAACAAATCCAAAAACAACCAGTTGTTTGCTGCCAGACAGAACATTAGAATAAACACGGCGGCACTTCTCACTGACCCAAAACATTTGCGGCACATAAATTCAACTATCACGACACTTGTACCTCAGAGCCCAGTTAACCGCCAGAACACAGTTAGTGCTGATTTGAAACCTGAGAAACTAGATCCTCTTGCACCAGTTCAGGAGGACAAGGTGGTGTTTACGGCGGCAGCAGAGAAACCCATCAGAATTACATCAGATCCTGACACAGAACAGGATGGAATAGAAAACAGGACCCACACACCACTACCAGTGTCTCAAATGTCTGACTCACTTACTGCTTCCATGGCCACAGAGTCAGAGAACAAAGAAGGTATAGTGGTATTGATGGACCCTTCAACAGCCAATGGAAAAACAAACAGGTATTCATCTGTTTCAAGAGTGAAAGCTGGAAAAAGAGAAATTACTGATGATAGAAAAGACCAGCCTTTTATCAAGAGGATGCATTTCACCATAAGATTAAAAGAAAGTGCCAACAGATACAGAGACATTGTAGTCAAGAAAGACGAGGGATTCACCCACATATTGCTATCCACTATATCAACAGAGAAAAATAAACTAAACACAGAAGTTATTAAAGAAATCATAAATGCTCTGGAAAGGGCTGCTGTGGATGACAGCAAGCTTGTGTTGTTCAGTGCCACTGGCAGTGTCTTTTGCTCTGGTCTTGATTTTGGGTACATTGTGAAGAATTTAAGGAATGACAGAAACAGAATGAGCAGTGAAATGGTGGACACCATTAAGAGCTTTGTGAATGTTTTCATTTATTTTAAAAAATTTATTGTCGTATTTGTCAACGGCCCAGCCATTGGGCTAGGTGCATCCATACTACCTCTTTGTGACTTGGTTTGGGCTAATGAAAAGGCTTGGATTCAAACCCCATATATGACCTTTGGACAGAGTCCATATGGCTGTGCTACTGTTACATTTCCAAGAATCATGGGTAAAGCATCGGCCAATGAAATGTTGATTGGTGGGCGAAAGCTGACAGCATGGGAGGCATCTGCCAAAGGCCTCGTCTCTCAGGTGTTCTTGAAATCAACTTTCATCCAAGAGGTGATGATTCAAATTAAGAGGCTCGCCTCCTGTAATCCTGTTATACTGGAAAAGTGTAAGGCCCTTGTGTGCTGTAATATGAAGATGGAGTTGGAACAGGCCAATGAGAGAGAGTGTGAAATGCTGAAAAAAATCTGGAGCACAGCAGAAGGGATAGAATCCATGTTAAAGTATGTTCAAACAAAAATTGATGAGTTTTAATAACCAGTCTGACTGCTTAGGACACAAGAACGAAAATTAACGAATATATAATTACCTGAAGATGCCCTAATTCATCTTAATAGCCTAACGTAATTTCAATTAGATTTAAGGCTTGGAGGAAGAATTGAAAAAATCTGAGCCCCTTATTTAATATTATGAAGAAATTGTTATAGATTTAGAATAAACAATAAAACAACTTCTTTGCTCAAATATCATTATTTTATGCACACAAGAGCCGAAATTTAAAAGCACACTGGTGAGAACTAATTTTTTCTTTCATGCTCTAATTGTTATCCCTACTAAAAGTAAGGTGTGAATGGTGCTCTGTTAGATTTCAGTAACATAAAAATTTGTGATAATGATTGTTTTTCTTATTTTTATATTCCAGAATGCAGAGTCAATTGAGGTAAATGTCAGTCTCTGCTCCCCTCACCCAAATAACATCTGAGATATTGCCTTTGACTTTATAGTTGCACAAATACCTCAGAGACACAAAATTTCAAATAAACGAGACGTAGGTATGTGTCAGAGTAATAATTTCCAACATATATTTTACTCATGATAATTCTTCCAAACTGAACATATGGTTAAAATTTATGCTGAGGTAATAATTACGTTTTATACCTGTCTAGTTATTACGCAGTTACCATAAATAACCTATTATTTTTCTAAAGTAAAATTTTCTGTACATTATTAGTGAATCATGGATTTATTTAGGGAGAAAAATCCAAGTTTTTTGATGTGTAGCTTTTGTTTTCTTCCCCAGAGCAAATCCAGGTTTATTAAGAAAGTAAACTGGTGTTGAAAGGAAAGCTGTTCTGTAGACAGAGGAGGACATTACTAAAAGTAAGAGGAGGAACGCATCCGCCCAATATACGGTGGATGCATTTATGTAGTTAAGTGCTCTGCTGCAGGGTTTTGAGGTAAAGGATTCATTTTCTTAATAATTTTTTCGAGAATCAACATTATTTTCTTCTACTGTGGAAGTATCTTTGTTTCATTTCTGTCTAATGCTATATAAAGTAAGTGAGAGAAACTCATTAACTCGAAGCATATCATTTTCATCTACTGTAAATGAGGGTATCATACAGTGCTCTTTGCACACAGCTTTGAAGTTGAGCTCTGATTTTAGGGTGTTTAGCAGTGTTCTTTCACAGTTACCCAGAAAGAACTTACAAAAGAGGTCATAGTTCAGACACTATCAAAGAAAAATCATCATGTGAGAAATAAAAAGTATCAACCTTTTTTCAGCTCCTTTCTTTTACATACTTTAACCCACATATTTTACAGTTTTGCTTTTGTGCAAAGCTGTATAACTCCCTGTCTATGAAGAGATAAGAAAAATTGACCTCAGAGAATCACCCTGTATTAGGATTGATGGATATTGAGAAAAAAATAAATTCTACTTTGTAACTGCATTTTAGCTTTTGGGGTACATGTGAAGAACATGCAAGATTGCTGCACAGGTAAACCCATGGCCGTGTGATTTTCTCTCTTTTTATCAGTTTGCAGAGGTACGTCCAGAAGGTAGTCTGGGTCGGGTAAACATGGGGAATGTAACCCAAAGATGCGCTCCAGCCGGTAGTGATGACATGCATTTCCAAGTCTTTCAAGGGTAATGCATAACAGACATGCTAGAAACCGACAGGAGAGTCACCTTCCCAGTCCTTGGACCTCATTAGGGCTCAGTCATTGGTGTCAGCAAGCCGCCTGGCAACAGGTTTATGCTCTTTGCTATTTTATTTTTTACTCTTCTTGCCATCCAGACGTGAGGAAAGGAAAGAGGTGGAGACAGATAAACGGAATGCCCCCATTTGAGAATTTTCCAAACCCTTTTCTTAGAGAAAGTTCTTAATCTCCCCTTCAGCCTCACTGTCAGGGTTTTCTCGTGAGACACAATGCTACTAGTTTATGTAATAGGACTGAATTGATTTTTCTTATTTGTTTGTTTGTCGGTTTCTTTGATTTATAAAACAGAACAGTAGTAGTTTTTTTTTTTAACCACTTGAAGAACTAAGGGCATTAAGTGGGGAAGCAATATGCATGCTCCTATTATAAGAGACACATTATGACAGAAGTCTTGTGTTTTCCTACTGCAGGAAATCAATTCCAAAACATTGATTCAGAATCGAAACCATTAGACACCTGCACAGATATATGTACCAGTTTTCTTATGTTTTTCACAAATTTTTACCACCTTACCCTGACCCTGGTTATTTATTTGCAGGAAACAGTTGGTAAAGTTGAATTGTTCACACTCCCATCTTTCAGTTTGTAAAAAGTGATCTAAACGCAGTCTCTTCTGGTACATGGCATTTCTTATCTTGTTCTCCTGCCATATCGGTGTGGTTGGAGCCTGGCCAGTTATGTTGGCCAGGATTTCTAGGACAGTTTGCAACCAAATTATTCAATTCAGCAAAGAGCCCATGGTCAGAATGAAGGTGATGAGCATGAACATTAATTTTTTAATCAACACCAGGGTCGAGCATTTCTTGGTAACTCAATGTGTGACCCCTTTGCACAGAAAGGCAGTAGACATATTTGGGACAACTTGCGTTTCAGAGAAACAGGATTTGTGCCTACTATTGTCCTGCTCTGAGGAAGCTGAAAAGATTATGGTCAGTTTTTGTACACACCAGATTTCCCCTTTTCCTCTTGCGTAGAGACTTGCTGAGCAAATTGAGAATTAGTATTATGTTCATTGATAAGGGCTCCCTGCTGCTAAATTACTGCCTTGGGCAGCAATTATTATGGCTCTCAGAAGAGGAAGAGTGGAGACTCTTTCTGACTGAACCAGCATGAGAAACAGCCACTGCACTAGCAAAGTGATGGCACTGGTCTGGGCAGTAGACCACCCCCCAAAATAGGCTGTAAACCAATCTAGGTGGTCATCAAAGTCAAGTCAATGGCACTACCACTTTAAGAAAGGCAGAAGACAGTACCAAGAAAAGCTCTTGAAGGTGTTTAGGCCAGCACCAAGGAATGTTTTTGAAGGCATCTAGGTCCATCTCAGAAACCTGAATATTTATGGCATTATAGTTCCTTGCAAGTCTCTATAAAATACACCCCTCTCACCTTTCCCCATGCCAGGGACCAAGTACTATAGTTTGGAGGAGAATATCTGCTTGGTCAAACAGGCAACTTTGATCTTGCACTTCAATGCGTTCAATCCCTATATGTTGCTAAAACTGTTTTACTGGCATAAACTGAAAACATGCTTTCTTCAGTATCAGGTTAGCTCTTGAAAACCAATAGCTGATTTTCAGTGGGAGGATCCAACGTCATGTGTAACAACACAGTACACCTGGACTTGGCTTTCATAGGAGTTCAGAAACTATCCAACAATCTTCAGAGAAGCATTGGCCCAAGACCTCGAGAAGTTATGTGTTAAGGGCCTTAAGTTGTGTGCTGCGTCAGGATGTGAATGACCTTTCGCTGGGACACCCAGTGGCAGCTGAGTGTGCCAGAAAAATTGACTTATTACTCGAATACCTAAAGACCTGTAAATACAAAGTGTCTAAAAGGAAGGCCTACATTCTCCAACAACCGTCTCACTATCTAGAAGTTACTATCTAACACGGACAAAGAAGCCTAGTAATAGAAAAAAAGCAGGTTAACAGTAACCTGCTGGTGCCTAATGATTCAATCCAGCTATGGAGAATTAAAGGCATTTCAGTGGAGCTGAGAGTGACAGGGGGTCTTCTCACATTAGAAAAATACCTGATGTCTGCCCTAAGACTGGGGCTGCTGGACTTAGCAAAATCTTTTATGCTGTAGGTGTCTGAGGGAGATAAAACAGCAGAGTGGGTCCTGACTCACAACATGGGCTCATGGCCATGACCTGTTGCATAATTTTCTAAACAAATGGATGGCATTTCCAAAGAATGCTCCCCATGTCTACGAGCCTTGGAAACCCCTGGCCTACTGGCACAGGAAGTTGACAAGCTAACTGTGGGACTGAATTTACTGATGAAAGCTTCTCCCCATGTCATTGTCACCTGAATAAACATGATGTGGTATCACTGGCTCACCAGTGCCCACTTAACTAAGTGCTAGAGCCAACTGTATGAGAGTCCATGAATAATTAAAGAAGTTTGCAAAAATTTAAGTTCAGCCAGGTTACTTCCTTTGTCTGAGGACCTGGTAACACATGATTGCCTAAAATCACCTCACTCAGTTTATTTCAATTGGCTGGATCTGCAGGACTAACTACAGTCTGAAGGTGACTTGGAACTATAGATGGACAAAAGGGGTTTTGTCAACTCTGTGGGGGAAAAATGTGTTCAATACACTGCGGTTACTCTGGAATCAACTCTAGAGGCCAATACAACACCTCAAGGCACCTGAGCACAGAGTAGAATTAATAGCCTTAATGTGTACCTTGGAATTAAGTAAAGAAGAAACTGATAATGTCTTTACTAACTCACACTTTATATTCCTCACTCTCCAAGTACACAGGAAACTGCACAAGAAGAAGTCCCTATTTAAATCTGGGGGCAAAGAATACAATGGCAACAGAAAATTTTGTGCGCATAAAGGTAGACACGAAGAATAACACTTTTATGAAGAAAAGGAAAATCAATTGTCATTTCAGCATAAAGTGAAACATAAGTTCAGTTTGGGTGAAGACTCGTTAAGGCATGATTTTCTAAAAGCACCTCACTCAGTTTATTTCAGTTGGCTGGATCTGCAGGACAAACTACAATCTCAAGGTGACTGGGAACTATAAGTAAATGAAAGCAGTTTTTTCAACCATGTGATGAAAGATGTGTTCAATGCGCTGTGGTTTCTCGGTAATCAACTCAGGAGGCCAATACAACACCTCAAGGCAGCTGAGCACAGAGAGTAGAGTTAATAACCTTAATGTGTTCCTTGAAATTAAGAATAGAGAAAACTGTTAATGTCTTTACTATCTCACACTATGCATTCCTCACTCTCCAGGTATGCAGGACACTGCACAAGGAAAAGTACCTATTTAAATCTTGAAGCAAAGAATAAAATGGCAACCGAAAATGTTGCAGCTACTGTAGGCAATATGTGAGCCCCCCAAAAAATAGGTGCCAGTCATACACTGCCAAAAATATCGAGATAATTCCATCACAATCGGCCAGGGAAATGCCTTCACAGATAGGAAGGCCCAGAGGGCCATATTCATTCCATATGGGGCATCATTTGTGGCCCTCCTACTGCCTCAGACCCTTAAA